CTTTCCCTCTCTCTTTCTCTTTCCTGTGAGCATGTGTGTCCTACAGCCAACTTAAAAATAATAATAATGATTTAAAAGTAAAATTAAATAAATAACTATTTAAAATAAAAAGGAAGGCCCCAACTTCTTATATTACAGTATATAGACTATGTTGTTGAATTCTGCTACTATTCGCAGAAGAAATCAGAACAATTGAGCTTCTCTTTTGTTGGAGGTAAGATGAGCATTTTCTTGGTAACCATAGGAGAAGTTCAACTGCTGGGGTTCTACAAAGTTGCCATCCCCAGATTTTTAACTTTCCATGAATGGTCTCAGCTGCATGTTTACCGCTTTTAATTTCTCCTTTGCCCGTGTCTTTCTCTAAGACTGTCTTAAGAAGCAGAGAATTGGGGCCATCAGGTGGCATGGTGGTTAAGGCACTGGACTCCCACATGGTCGACCACGGTTCAATTTTCAGACCTGGCAGCTTAAAAATTACACCGGGTGTGTGTATGCATGCATGTCCAAAACCCCAAGACCTTGGGCAGTCTGGAATTGAGACGGTGGGCTGTAGTTGGACATTCGAGAGTCTTAGTGTACAATTAGCACCTAGAGCGGTGAGATTCTCTGCTAGCGCTGAGTGAAGGGTTATAGAAGGAAGAAGAGGCTTAGGACTGAGCCTTGGGGACAATTAGAAGTTGAAGAAATGTGCTGGATCGTCAGCTTCCACTGGAGAACCGCCGGCATGCGTGTCAAAGCTTAAGAACTACATTTCCCAGAATCCTCTCTGCTCTCGCTTCCTGGTCAGAGCCGGCCAATAAAGTCCCGCGAGATGTGGAAGGCGGAAGTGAAGCGGAAGCCATTACTCTCGGGAGGCGACCGTAACACGACACATGGGCAAAAGAAGAGTCCGCGGTGGCTTCCTTGGACCCGTTGGGGACCCTCCGCTTCCCCGCGGCCGTCGGGACCTTCCGTATGAACGTCTCCTCTCCTCGGCAGCCGCTTCTGAGACCTCCGCTCCGCCCGATTGTACCCCCAAAAATGTAAGCCCCCCCTTTGCTCACTTAACCCTTTACCCCCCGGCGTTCCTGAGGACAGGAGAGGCCCACCAAGTGGGGAGGCTTTGGGGGTGCAAGGGTCGAGGACTAGGAAGCCAGGCAGCCAGACGAGGAGTGCGTTTACACCCTGCGATCAGCGATATGCAAGGCTGATGACGCTGGGACCGAAAGGCCACCACTGCGTTTAGTGACAGGCAAGACATCTGGTCGTAGAAAGCCCCGAGTCCTTCTGGTGGGGGCGGAAATGCCTGTGCGAAGTGAGTTGGGGAGATCTGGGGGGGACGGATGGGGCAGGAACTGGAGACAGCAAGGATAAACCACCTTTCTGTGCTCTGTAGTCAGTTTTGTGTGATGCTGACAGAGGCATAGTGGTTTTTGTTGTTAGCATTTAACTTGAGTACTTCTTAAACGTTTTTTCAGTACTTTTCACTTGCGTGCGTTTATTTCATTTAATTGTCTTGTGTACATAGCCTGTAAGTAGATTTAAAATCCAGTTCAACAGCCTGTTACTTGAGAGGTAATCCATTAATAATGATTATGATTACTGATATTTTGCATCGAATTTTATAATCTTGTGTCATTTCCTTTCAGATAGTTTTAAATTGGAAAATAGGCCATACATGCAAAAACAGAAGAATTATATTATTTTTCTCTCTCACTTATTCTCTTTGTCTTACATACACACACACTTACACACACACACTTACACACATAGTGAAAAGGACAACGATAAAGCGAATCCAGAAGCCAGATCAAAAGATTATTAGACCTCAGGAATATGTGCCTCCTCTAAACAGTACTGTCTTGTTCCTAATAATTTTCTTTTACTGCTTATCTATGTTTTCGGTATTTATTTGTAAGTGGACTCGCTTTTTTATTTTTTGCTATAGGTGCACTCGCCCATAAGACAGAGAGACAGGATACAAGAAATCAGCCTGCAGAGGGGGATGGCCAGGATGCATTCCCTTCTCCATTCTCCTCTCAGGATCTTGGGCACACACCCACACACCCACCATGAGTTTTAAGCTGCCAGGTCTAGGACTTGAACCACAGTCAACTCCATAGGAGTCCAGTAATGTAACCATCTACTGGTCCCTGGATTCACTCTTAATTATTTAAGGTACATGTCCCCAATGGGTCATAGTCATGCCACAATCCTTTTTCTTCCATTTCCCCATCCCCTCAGGACTTTAGACACATGTGCATGTGCACCCAGCATGCTGTTCAAGCTTCCAGGGCCAAAATTCAAACCCATAGTTGACAGTGTGGAATCTGGCTCCCTATGCACAGCATTTAACCACTGCACTAAGGGGCCAGACCTCTCCCCCACCCACAAACACACACACACACACCACTTTTTTTAACTCATTCTTCTGTTGATGGACACTTAGGTTGCTTCCGTATCCTGTTTGTTGTGAATTGAGGTGCAGAAATCTTTACCACACACTGATGTCCTTTCCTTTGCTTATATGCCTAGTAATGGGACTGCTGGGTCATATGGCACCTCTGTTTTTAGATTCTTGAGGAATCTCCCTAAGATTTTCCATATGACTGTAATAATTTGTTTTCCTGCCAATAGTATAAAACAGTGCCCCAATCACTTGTCCTCTCCAGCATTTTGTGTTTTGTTTTGTTTTGTTTTGTTTTGTGGTCTTTTTAGGTTTTTGCCATAGGGCCTATACACTCACTAGAAAGAGACAGAGAGAAGGAAAGTGAGAAATCAGCCCTTGGCGGATGGCCATGCCACAGTCCCTACTCCTGGATTTTGAGCATGCACACACAAGCACCTACTTTGATTTTCAAGCTGCCAGGTCTAGGATTCGAACTGTGATTAGCCATGTGGGAATCCAGTGCCTTAACTACCATGTCACCTAATGGCACCTATTTTTCACCTTAAAAAAAAAAAAAAAAAAAAAAAGATTGAAAAAAAAGATTTATTTATTTATTTAATTTCATTTATATTATTTTCTCCTTCTTCTTCTTCCTTCCTCTTCTTCTTCTCCTCCTTCCTTCTTCCTTCTTCCTTCTTCTTCTTCTTTTTTAATTTTACCAGAGAGAGAGAGAGAGAGAGAGAGAGAGAAGAAAACGAGGAAGCAAGTTGCCAGGTCTGGAACTTCAACTGTGGTCAGCCATGTGGGAATCCAGCACCTTTAACCACCATGCCAGCAGGTGGCATGGTGGTTAAAGGCACCTGTATTTTTCATCTTTTTTAGAATAGCTATTTTTCCCCCTTTTAGCATTTTTGCCCTAGGGCATGTGTGCTTGGCAGAAAGAAAGACAGTGGGAAGGAAAGTGAGAAATTCCCCCCTCCCCCACACGAATGGCCATGCCACAATCCATTCTCTATTTTCTGCCTGTGATTTTGAGCACACATGCACATGCGCCTAGTGCAGTTTTTCAGCCTCCAGGTCAAGGACTTGAACCACAATCTGCCATGTGGGAGTCCAGCACCTTAACTACCATGCCACCTGCTGGCTCTATGATAGCCATTCTAACCGGAGTGAGATAAATACTCATTGTGGTATTGGTTTGCATTTCACTTAGTAATCCTGAGCGTTTTTTCATATTTTTTGGCCTTCTTGTCTTTTGAGAACTGTTTGCTCAGATCACTGCCCATTTTTTAGTTAAGTTATTCATGTTTTTGTTTCTTTGTTTATTTATTTGTTTTTTTGTGTGTTGTGAGTTGTTTGAGTTTCTCATATATTCTGGTTGTTAATCCTTTGTCAGATGGACAATGTGAAAATATTTTCTCCCATTCTGTGAGTTGTTTCTTCACTCTATTCATTATTTCCTTTGCTATGCAGATGCTTTCTAGTTTGATATAGTCCCATTTGTTTATTTCTACTTTTGTTGCCTATGCTTTGAGGTGTTTTGTTTTTGTTTTTGCTGTTTGCTGTTACTTTTCCAAAAGTTACCCAAACTCTTAAGTCTGTTTCTACTCCTGTGGTAGCACTACTTGTGCTCATCTGATTGGCTCATTGTGGTTTTCAGGAAGACCCAACATCAGATGTTGCTTAACATACAACATGGGTCCCAACCGAAGGCAGTGCCATTCATCTTCATGGTAAAACTGACAGAGAAGAATTCAGTTACCATTACTGTATTGCTTCACCCATATTTTCATAAATTGTCTTTTGGGATGCTTTTTATTTTTTTAACTTACTTGCTGTTCTGATTTTGGTTATGGTTTGTCCCCCAAAGTTTTGTGTTTTGGAATTTGGTGTTCTAAGGTGGTAAAACCTAGTGAGAAGCAATTGGCTCCTGGTGGTTGATTGCATGGAGGCAAAAATCTCAAGAGTAAATTAATGATGTCTCATGAGACCTAGTGAGCTCCATATCTCATGAGAAGGGGTTATTTCTCCTGAGAGCTTGTTGCTATAAAAAAAGAGAGAGATACCTGCAGCTGCTCTCTCTACGCATACCCTCTATCCTTGGTGCTCTATCTTTGGTGCTTCTATCGGCCATGTGGTAGTCCTACACCTTTGAAGCCACCAGAATTTGATTTTTACTAATTAGCCTCTATTTATTTTCATTATAAATCACCCATATCGGGTTTTTCTATTACCCATATGAAAAAGGACTAAGACACACTTTTTTTTTTTTTTCATTTTTAAATTACAAGTGATTGGGGCTGGCAGGTGGCGTAGTGATGAAAGTGCTGGAATCCCATATGGCTGACCACAGTTCAAGTCCTGGATCTGACGGCTTACCTTCTCCCTTTCTCTCCTTCTTTCTGGTCAAATTTAAAAATGATAATAATAATTAAATAAAATAATTATTTTAAAAACTTCTTTTTAATTACATGTGATTTGTTTTCATATTTCTAGGAAGCAGGTGGTGCTGATATTTGGTAACTAACAGTTAACTAAAGCCTATGAAATCCACCAGCCTTACCTCCTATTTTTAAGTTAATAAACTATAAGATTGTGTTCTATCTCTATACATATATTTTGTATTTCTAGTCTAGTTTTTAATTTGGAAAAAAAAGTAATTCATCAATTTGGCAAGCAAGGTTTTTTCCTTAATGTCACCTAGAATCAGTAGACTTTCAAGGGACTTTCAATAAAACAGTAGAAGAATCTTAATGTAAAAAATTAAAACTCAACCGAGCAATAGGGCCAACCAGTGGCATGGTGGTTGAGGCAGCTTGATCTCACATGGCTGACTGCACAGTTCAAGTCCCAGACCCAGAGACTTTAAAAACATTCTAGGTGCATGTGTATGCATGCCCAGAATCCTAGGAAGAGAATGGAGGAGAAGGAATTACCTTCTCTAATGTGGCCATGCCCCTGAGGGATGTTTTCTCAATTCTCTCTCTCTGTCCAGTGGGTACACATACTCTATAGCAAAATTTTTAAAGAGAAGACTAAAATCAGCCTCATCTTCCAGATAGTGATTCAGAAATCTGCTCACTAGGTAAAACTTCCTACACAGCTTTCTTCTCACATTAACTCTCCCACTCTAGAGATATTCCTGGCCATACATACCTCTCTACCCTGTTGCTCCCTAACCTCCTCTTCTCATTGCCCAACTGATCCCAATCTCAGTGGCTACAAGAAACACACCAGGCATGTGTGCATGCATGCCCCAAATCCTGATAGAATAGAAAAATGGAGGAAAAAGAAGGGATTGTGGCATGACCACACACCATTGGGGAATGCTTTCTCTCCTTTCTTTGCTTCTGTCTCTCTCTTTCTCTCATGAGCTCATACACCCTATGGCAATTTTAAAAATAAATAAATAAAGGTCTAGGATAATCCAGGACTTGGTAGTCAAAAGAGGAGAGTCCAAAAAGCAAAACTCAGAATTGTCCTCAGTGAGCAAGTGAGCCAGCCAGCCTCTCATTACTGGTGCTCTTTCCTTGACTACAGATGCCTGTTTGGAGAGTCCCATGAAAACAAGGGAGTAGCTTCCTGGTCCTCCCAGTTCTTTGTTGAGGCAAATTGACCATCATTCTCACAGGATGGCAGCACTCGGTCTGTCTCCCACATTTGGTAAGTCCCTGGATCCATGTACACCCTCAGAAATCGGGCCTATATGGCCTCGACCACTTCCTGAGAAAGGAAAGTACAGCCATAGGGAGGGCTGCTTCTGGAGAGTAAGTGAGCTGAAAAGTGGTGGGCACAGCCCCAGGAGCCACTCAAGTATCTGAGTCTGCTTCAGGATCTTTGTGAGTTTGGGAAAGGGAGAGCATGTGTGTGGTTGGTATGTGAAGGGACACAGGTGGTAAATGACCCTGCATTATCCCATATGTCATTTCAATAAATTTGAGCAAGGTGGTGTTCTACCACTTAGAACTATAATTTCTTTACTGAAGCTGGGGATATGTATCATTTCTCATGGGTATATAGGCCCACCACTTTCTTTTCTGGTTTTGAGTGGAGCAGGGCTGATCTGGCTTGTTATAAAACATGGTGCGCATGCATGTGAGCGCGTGAGCAAGAAAGACATGGGGATGTGGACATTCAGAGTGTGAAGCAATTCCCTGGTTTGCAAATGTGATGTAGGGTGGTTTTTGATTCTCATAGATTCTCTTTTCTCCTCTAGCTGTGTCTACCCAAGACCCTGCCTGTCTCCAGGAGTCAGAATTATCTCTCCCGTCAAAAGACCATTCCTGTACCCAGACTTTGGATCTGTTTGCTTGTCATGTTCTAAAGCCTCAGACACCAACCATTGTTGGCTCCCAGGTACACCAAGATTTCAGGGCCCTTGAAGGTAGGAGAGGCACTTTTAGAAGGCCCTACCATCACTTGTTGGAATTCTTTCAGAGATCTTCATCCAGGCTGATAAGTATTTGGTCAGGACCCAAGAGAGAAAGTCAGGGAATATTGAGGGGCTGTCTTTGTGTTGAGGGTTAGGGGTAATGATTTATGGAGCACATGGCTGGTCATGCTTACAGAGTACCCAACCCCAGAGAGCGGAAATAAAAAAAATTCGCACACCAGGCTAGATGCAGTGATAAAGATTGGTTTCTTGTAAAGAGTTGGATTTAAAGTGATGAGATGAGACCAGATCTCCTAGGAAGAGAGGCTACCTGAGGACTGGATTCTAGAGTAAAAGTTGAGATTTTTAATACACCATCTGGAAATCCTAAATTGGGCCTTTCATGCCCAATCTCCAGGCCCAGCTATCTTTATTTTATTTTATTTTATTTTATTTTTTTAATTTGTCAGAAGACACATGTGCTTGCCAGGCAGAGACAGAAGAGAGGGAGGAGGAGGTAGGGAAGGCGAGAAAGCACCCTCACCATGGAGAACGATCACACCACAATCCCTTCTCTTCCACCTTATCCTCCTTTTGGGATTTTGGGCATGTGCCTATACATACCACGCGTGTTTCTCAGGCTGCCAATCCCAAGACTCTAACTGCATGGTTGTCCATGTGGGATCCAGCTGCCTTAACTGCCAGGCCTCGGACTGGCCCAGGCGTGGTCATCTTTCTGTGAGTACGGATAGGCTGGTTTCCCACTGAGCCCAAATGCATGTCCTGTTTCAGGAGTCAGTGACTTTCCAGGACATTGCTGTGGACTTCACTGACAAGGAGTGGCCCTTGCTGGATTCCTCGCAGAGGAAACTGTACAAGGATGTGATGCTGGAGAACTACAGCAACCTGACTTCATTAGGTAGGGCTGGCAGCATCTCCGTTTATTCCTTCCCACGTCAGATGTTCGAAGTGTTTGCTGTGACCCAGGAACTATGTGCAGTTTGAAACCTGACTGTGAATGAGCAGACCTGGTACCCACCTGCATGGCGTCTCCCATGGGTCTGAGACCTTTCCATCACATTAACCATGGCAGTTCTCAACTGTGTGTGTGTGTGTCTGAACTCTGGTGTAGGTTTTCTTTTCTCTCTCTCTCTCTTTTTTTTTGGAGAGGTTTTCACTATAGGGCACGTGCGCTCGCCAGACAGAGAGAGACAGAAAGCGAGAAATCACCCTTCAGGGGGGGTGGCCACGCCGCAATCCCTTCTCCTCCATTCTCCTCTCAGGATCTTGAGCACGCACGCACACGTGCCCGGAGTGAGTTTTAAGTCACCCGGTCCAAGACTTGACCCACGGTCGACTACGTGGGAGTCCAGCGACATATAGCCATTACGCTAACTGCTGGTTCCCAACTCTGGTGTAGGTTTTCAAGATGAGCCATCCTCATTCTTTTGGAGAGTAAACGTGTGGGTATTTGTGGCTTCTTTGTTTCTTTTTTTTTCTTCTTTTTTTTTTTTTTTTTCGGTTTTTGCCTTATGGTACATATACTTGCCAGAGACAGAGACTGTGAAAAGGAAAGTGAGAAATCACTCCCCAGCAGGGGGCAGCCACATCACAGTCCCTCCATTCTCCTCCTGGGATTTTGGGCACACATGCATACACACCAGATGTGATTTTCAACCCTCTAGGTCTGGGACTTGAACCATAGTCAGCAAGTCCAGCAATGTAACCACTACACCATCTGCTGGTCACGTCTTTCTTTTTTCATTTTTTTTTTAAGCTACTTCTTCCTTGACAGAGAACAAGAGACAGAGAGACAGGGACTCCCAATGGGATCTTCACACAATGAGCCACCCCCAGCCTCAGCCAGCACAGATCTTGGCTACCCGCTATGCTCAGGGAGGCTTTGGAACTCAAACTTCGAACCTCCCCATGTGGGTCCAGCATCACAGAGCATTGTATGACCTCTGTGCCACTGTCTGACCCCTGTGGCTTTGTTCTTTATGAAAGGCTTTTTCTTAGAAATGTGGCACCATCATTTTGTGTCCTCAATGTGTGCCTCCTTTCCTCATGAGCAGGGTATCAGGTTGGCAAGCCCAGCCTCATCTCACACCTGGAACAAGAGGAGGAGCTAAGGACGGAGGAGAGGGGGGTTCACCGAGGCCCCTGTACAGGTGAGTGAGCACCACACAAACTTTTGAAGTTTGCACTTTCGACTGAATGTCAGCGTTATTCAAAGATTGGGGTGGAACAGGAGGTACATGAGGAAACAATCATCCAGAGAAATTGGAAAATATGAGGGAACTTCACATTTAAAAAGTTCATGAAAAAATAGAATTAAAGTACACACATTTATTTTGGTGCAAAATTTTTAAAAAATCTATGCACAATATTTTCATAATATGCATTCTCCATGATCATTTTGAAGATTCCCTTGCCATCCCCACCCCCTAGTACTGCCCATCCATTCTCTCCCAAGTTCTTCCATCTCCATATCTCTTTTTTTTTTTTTTTAATTCAGTGTCTCTCTTTTTGTTTTGTTTTCGTTTTAGTTTCTGCTATAGGACACAAGCACTCACTGGAGAGAGACAGAGAAAGAGAAAGCGAGAAATCACTACCCAGAGGAATGATCGTGCCACACTCCCTTTTCTATTCTCCTCGGTATTTTCAGCATGCATACACATGTGCTGGCATGTTTTCCATGCCACCAGATCTGAGACTCAAACTGCAGACAGCCATGTGGGATCCAGTCACCTTAACCTACCATGGCACCTGCTGTCCCTGAATTTGATGTCTTTATGTGGGCTTGTTGTCCCATTCATTTGTATTTGACATTCCCAGTTACACCCTCCTGTCTTTATTAATGTCAGCCTGAACTTTCTTATCTCTTGGAGGGCACATGTTCTCCCCAGGGGGAGAGAGAGAGAGAGATAGAGAGAGAGAGAGAGAAGGCATCTCCCAGCCAGGCTTGGTCACCCCACCATCCCTCCTCTGTTTCACCATCCTGTCAGGATTTTTTTTTTTTTCCTAAAGGTTTTTGCTATAGGGTGCATGTATTATTCTCCAGAAAGAGACAGGAAGCAAGAAATCACACACACACACACACACACACCCGGGGGGATGGCCATGACGCAATCCATTCTCCTCTTGGGATCTTGGGCACGCACGCTCACATGCCCGGCATGAGTTTAAGCTGCCTGGTCTAGGACTGAAACCAATGTCAACTACATGGGAGTCCAGTGATGTAACCATTATGCCATCTGTTGGCCCCATCCTGTCAGGTTTTTGAGCACATGCACCCAGTTTATTTATCATGGTACAAGGGCCAGGATTCAGGCCGCACAGTCAGCCACATGGTATCCAACTTCCTTAACCATTAAGTGACAGGGCTGACCCAGTCTAAATTGACCTAAATTTTTACCTGTCATTGCCATATATCTCAGTCAGCCAGATTTTTAACAATTGTTGCTCACTTGCGAGTTCTTCCCTTTGACATCACCTTTCCTGTGTAGGGTTAGTATTTGTAAAAAATATCTACCTGTTTGTCACCATCATCCCATCATTTTCTTTTGCCAGCTAATTCATATTTTTCCAATTTGTTTCAGATTGGGAGACTCCATCTAAAACGAAGTGGTCGATTCTTATGGAAGATATTTTTGGGAAGGAAACATCCAGTGGTGTGACAATGGTAATATTTCCTTGGGATAATTCTGGATCTTCTGTATTAGAGGCAATGGAGGCAGGCTGAGTTTGAAAAACAGCTCAAGTGAAGAGGACTTTTGGCATTTCACAAGAGAAAACTGATAGAGATACCGAGTATTACTAACCTGGGGAGACCCTGAACCTGGCCTCAGACTTCTTCACTCAGCCTCTGATGAATAAATATTTCCATAACTGTGTCTCAGATGTTTAGTATTGAGACTCAACTGAGTTTTTGTTTTGCTTTCCAGTAGGATTAGAAAGAAATTCTTATTTCTGACTGTAACTTTTTAAAAATTAAATTCAGTTTTATTTTTTAATTATTAGAGGGTAATGTACTCCCCAGAGACAGACAGGGAGAGGGAGAAAGTATCCCCACCATAGGATGTCATGCCACAATCCCTTCTCCTTTTTTCTATCCTGTTGGCATTTAGGGCATACACACATATGGCACTGAGTGCTTTTCAAGCTGCTAGGCCTGGACTGGACCTGTAGTCAGCCATGTGGGATCCAGCTTCCTAACTACTAGGCCACAGGGCTGGCCCTGTTTTCAGTTTTTTAAAAGTTAATTCATTTATTTCTTCCATGAATGACAGAGACATTACCTCCAACAGAGTTCTGACACCATGATCTATTCCCAGCCACAGCCAGTGAGATTGTGGCTGCATAGTGCCTGGCTTACCCAGGGAAATCTCTAGACACAGGCCTGAACCTTCCTGTGTTGCTTAGCCTCACAGTGTCATTACCACTCTTCTGTTCCTAAATTCAGTTTTTAAACAGTGAACAACTTTGTATGCAAAAAAAAAAAAAAAGGTTTATGAAAGTAACACTGACCGAGTCTTATGACATAGCATTCACCGGTTCTCTTTGATGGAGCCCATGTAGGGCAAGAACAGTACATTTACTTGGCAAGTTATAACATCTTTAGTACTAAAGATGCACTTCTATTCATATCAATTCATGTGGGGATGATTTTTTTTTTTTTTGAGTGGTTTTCGCTATAGGGCGTGTGCGCTCGCCAGACAGAGAGAGACATAGAGACAGAAATTGAGAAATCACCCCCCAGGGGGGATGGTCACGCCGCAATCCCTTCTCCTCCATTCTCCTCTTGGGATCTTGGGCATGCACACACATGCGCCCAGCGTGAGTTCTAAGCCACCGGATCTGGGATGCAAACTGTGGTCGACTATGTGGGAATCCAGTGACATAGCCATTATGCTAACTGCTGGTTCCCATGTGGGGGTGATTCTTAGGGACATGGTAAATCTGAAAAACGCATTAGTCAGTGCTCATCTCTTAACCCACAGGACAGAGCTCGTCATGGCGAGAAACCCACTGAATACTCCCACTTGTTTGAAGTCTTCAGCATGGGCACTCACCTTACTCAGCCAATGGGACGGCACACTGGCAAGAGGCCCTACCACCGCCGAGACTATGGCGTGGCTTTCAAAAGCAAGCCACATCTCACTCAGCATGTGAGCATGTACGATGGGCGGAAGATGCATGAGTGTCACCAGTGCCAGAAAGCCTTCACCACAAGCGCATCACTCACACGGCACCGGAGGATACACACTGGGGAGAAACCCTATGAATGCAATGACTGCGGGAAGGCCTTCAACGACCCCTCAGCCCTCCGGAGTCACGCGAGAACCCACCTCAAAGAGAAGCCGTTTGACTGCAGTCAGTGTGGAAACGCATTCCGGACCCTCTCTGCCCTGAAGATCCACATGAGGGTCCACACTGGCGAGAGACCTTACAAGTGCGATCAGTGTGGGAAAGCCTACGGTCGGAGCTGCCACCTCATCGCACACAAGCGAACGCATACTGGAGAGAGGCCCTACGAATGTCACGACTGTGGGAAAGCTTTCCAGCACCCCTCACACCTCAAAGAGCATGTCCGGAATCACACTGGGGAGAAACCCTACGAATGCACACAATGTGGGAAAGCCTTCCGGTGGAAGTCAAACTTTAACTTGCATAAGAAGAACCATATGGTGGAGAAAACCTATGAATGTAAAGAATGTGGGAAATCCTTTGGTGACCTCTTATCACGAAGGAAACACATGAGAATTCATATTGTCAAGAAACCTGTCGAATGTCGCCAGTGTGGGAAAGCCTTCAGAAACCAGTCCATCCTTAAGACGCACATGAATTCTCACACTGGAGAGAAACCTTATGGGTGTGATCTCTGTGGGAAAGCTTTCAGCGCGAGTTCAAACCTAACCGCACACAGGAAAATACACACTCAAGAGAGACGCTATGAATGCGCAGCCTGTGGGAAGGTCTTTGGTGATTATCTATCTCGAAGGAGGCATATGAGCATTCATCTTGTAAAGAAGCGTGTTGAATGTAGGCAGTGTGGAAAAGCCTTCAGAAACCAGTCAACCCTGAAGACACACATGAGAAGTCACACAGGAGAAAAACCATACGAGTGCGATCACTGTGGGAAAGCCTTCAGCATAGGCTCTAACCTTAATGTGCACAGGAGAATACACACCGGGGAGAAACCCTATGAATGCCTTGCCTGTGGGAAAGCCTTCAGCGATCACTCATCCCTTAGGAGTCACATGAAAACTCACCGGGGAGAGAAGCTCTTTGTGTCATCAATATGGAAAAGGCTCCAGTGAGCTTGCTTTCTTTTAAGAGACATGTGAGTACTCAGATAGAAAGAAACTCACAGATATAAGGCAGGAAGGATGCCTTCACAAGCTCTCACCCTACTTGGCACAAAGAAATGCACATAACTTGGGAGAAATCCAATTTGTATAGTGATGAGAAGACTTGAAATGTTCTCACCATTCAGGAGCTTTGTGAGAACTCACATTGGGGGGAAAATGTACTTTTGTAATATGGAGTTGTCCTCAGCATCTATGCAACTCTTAACAAATATGAGAATTTAGGGAACAAACCCTAGCTTGATATTTAATGTCAAAATAATATTAGCACCTCCTCTCACTTTCTGGGCATGAGTAATAAGTGCACTAAGGAGAATCCCTGTCAATGCAGTGACCAGGGAAAATATTCTTGGTCTCATACCCTGTTCCTCATGAGAGAAATCACACCGAAGAGAAAAATCCATAAAGTGTAAGGACTGTGGAAAGTTTCTAACAGATCAGCAAACATTTTTCTTATGGCTTGCAAAGTAAGAATAGTTGTTATGTTTTTAAAGAGGAAGAATATATGACAGAAATCACAGGTGATCCATGAGGCCTGAAGTACTTGTTGCCTGCCTCTTTACAGAAAAAATGAGAACAACAATTCTCAACTGGGGTTGATTTTGCAGCCCAGAGGACATGTAACAATATTTGGTGACAGGTTTGATTTTCAGGACTGTGGGAAGGTGCTACCAGCATGTAGTGAGATGCTGCCAAATACCCACAATACACAGGAGACCTCCCACAACAGATAATTCCATGCCCCCAAAATGCCACTGTTGCTGAGGTTGAGAAGAATCTCCCTGCTATCCCTCAATGGCCTGCTGTATAATTTACCCTTAGTTTTTAATTAATCTTATGAGCACCTACAGTAGGAGAAATCTCTTTTTTAAATTTAAAATATAATCAGTGCACTTCTTTCAAGAAATGCATAAGCACTCCCACAGCTAATAATAGCTAGGTGGAAATGATTTTGGTCACAGCACTTGTGTATATGAGAAGGCTCATTGGGGAGAAAAGCCCCAGTGAGAGTGTTCCAGTAAATACGGGGTTGTATTTATTAGTTTCTCATCATGAAAACAGACCCTGTCTCAATTTTTAGTCTTTACTTTCAATGCTCTTCTAAATAACACTTTAGCCTCATCACAAAAGGTTGTATATAGTATTTTTACTATAGCTTCCTTCTTGATATGTCTTAACTTCCTTTGGAAAACTTGGCCAATGGCATATTTAGAATTATGTTCTGTACTGTGTAACATGTGGGTATTCTTTAGTACCTGTTACTGGTATCTAATTCAAGTGCATTGTGCTTGGAGCATGATAACTTCATCAGATGGATCTTTTGGTATGTTTGTGGCCTGCTTTTCAGCCAAGAGTGGCATAAACTTCTGGTTGCTTCCTCAGTATCCTCTCTTATCATCTTCTATGTCAAGACAATCCAGGTTCTACCCCATTAGGAACATGTACTATTTTTAAAACTCTTACAGGTTTTCTTGCAGCTAGTTTAATTTGTTTCCCATAATCCTGGCCATGGACATATAAGCAAATGTCACTGTGTGGACTTCTAAGAAAGCTCTAGAAAAAGGGTCATCCTTATCTGAGTGATTCTCTGCACATTTTGTATTTTGCTCTGCCCCTACTTCTCACCTTCTAAAAAGACCTACTACCTAGTGTTTAAAGATGCAGCTTGTGACCATAAGAATGCAAACCAGAGTCAAGAGAAGGTACTGCAGAGAAGCCCCATGATCCTGACCTCCTCTGTGGCTTCTTTGTCCATACCAACCCTAGATTTGTTATTTCTAGGCTTCCTATTACATGAGGAAAAATAAAACTAATTATTGGCTTATGTTGCAATGGATATTTTGTTTTTCTACTTATTTATTTGTGGGAAGAGAGTTCTGTACCCACTTGGATGTGATCTGGAACTCATATACTCAGTCATTGGTAAGTTTTTTTTCTTGTAGACATGGTCTTGCTGTGTTATGGTTAATCTACTTCAACCTCTCAGCTAAGACTACAGGCCTGTGCAACCATACCCAGTTGCTTTTTTTCCCCCCAAGATGGTCTCACTATGGTGCTCAGGCAAACCTCAAACTTATGACTCTCCTATGTCTGCCTCCTGGGTCACTGGGATGACAAGTACATTCCACCACATCCAGCTTTTTAGGTTGGACCAGGCATTGAACCCAAGTCTCCTATGTTGTCCCAGCCTGTGGAGCAGTGTCTTAAGTAGCACACACCACCATGGCTGGGCCAATAGATGAGTTTTTTTTTTATAACTGTTACCTAAAGGTGTGGTATAACCTGTATATTTTTAATTGGATATAGGTTTTTAAATTAATTAAAACTGGGCTTTTAAATTGTATTCTAAGTCTTGAATGTACTTAAACTTTTATTTATTGACTTGTTTATTAAAAGTATGCTCATCTTGGGAACCAGCAGTTAGCGTAATGGCTATGTCGCTGGACTCCCACATAGTCGACCACAGTTCGCGTCCCGGACCCGGTGGCTTGAAACTCACGCCGGGCACGTGTGTGTGCGTGCCCAAGATCCCGAGAGGACAATGGAGGAGAAGGGATTGTGGCGTGACCATCTCCCCTGGGGGGTGATTTCTCGCTTTCTGTCTGTCTGGCGAGCGCACGTGCCCTATAGCAAAAAAAAAAAAGTATGCTCATCTTTATAAACACCCAAGGAGGCATAATAGCATATTCGTTTTGCACATGGGGAATCTGAACAAAGAAAGTTCAAGTTAGTTGTATAAGGAAGTGGAAGTGTACACTATACTCTTTTGTCTGTCTTAATTTGCCTACTTACTTGCCATTGTTTTTAGTTACTTGAAGTTCCTTCACCTTAATATTTGAAAATATATTGGCTGGGTATAAAACTCTGAATTGATCACTTATTTTCTCTGAGCACTTTAAAGAAGTTATTTCTTTGTCTTTTGACTTCCTTTATTTCTGATTAGAAATTCGAACCATCCTTTACATTATTCCCCAGTTGTAATGTGTTTGTTTCACTGGCTTCTTTTGGAATTTTTACCTTTGAACTTTAGTGGTTTGAGTCATGTTAAGTAAAAATTATAGGAGGCCACTGTTTTGAATAAAGCTCCCCGCATTAGGCTTTAACAGAGTTCAACCAAAATGGAGTCATTCATGCTAAAATTCCACATTATCAGAATGGAACTAAGCTGTTTATCTGACCTTCTGGGAAAATCAGGAAAATAAGAGGTAACAGCCAAATTTCCTAAACAACCAGTTTCAACCTGGCATGATAATTAAATTCCCTCTGTCTTAATCTGACTCCCTATCCTCACTTTGGAAAGTAGCTAAAATTACCAGCCTGCTTCGCATTCTTAGTTGCTTTCTTTACCTCTTCTCTGTCAAACCAATCTCTTCTCAGCTCTTTGGAACACTTAATTCTGTTTTTACAGAAGGAAGCATTGCCTGATCCTAGAATCATAAAACCAGTTGAGATCTCTAAATTTGATGTAACTTTTGTCTTTTGACACCAAAAGACATTCTGTTGTCCTGGTGTATTTTCCTTTGCATTTATTCTATTAGGGATCATTGAGGGTCTTAGAATCTACAAGTCAGTTTGTTTTACAAAAGTATTTGGCCCTTTTTCATAATGATGTAATATACTTTTAAGTGTACAAATCAGTGGCATTAAGAACACTTACAATGTTGTGCCTTTTTTCTCATCATTCCAAACAGAAATTCCATTAAACTGTACTCCCCATTTCTCTGCCCTAGCCCATGGTAACCTCTGTTCTATTACTGTTCCCATGAATTTGTTATAGTGAAATCATAAAATATTAGTTCATTTGTGTCTGGCTTATTTCACAAAATTCATGTATTGAAGTTTTACCCATGTATTGGAAGGTTTTTGTTTGTGTTTTTTTTTTAAAGAGATTTGTTATGGGGCACATGCACTCACCAGAGAGATAGAAAGCGAGAAATCATCCCCCTCCCCACCAGGGGAGATGGCCATGCTGCAATCCCAACTCCAGTCTCCTCTTGGGATTTTGGGCACACATTCACATACACATAGCATGAGTTTTAAGCTGCTGGGTTCAGGGCTTGAACTATGGTCGATTATGTGTGTGATTATGAGTTCAGTGTGGGAGTCCAGTGGCGTAGCCATTATACCATCTGCTGGTCCCAGTTATTATTATTTTTTTTTTTGAGTGGTGGTTTTTCTTTATTTTTTTATTTTTTAATCTTTTTGAATGTTTATTTACATTTAGTCACCATAAATCTTTGCAGTGTACAAAACATGGGTTTTGTTCCCAGCACTAATGTAGTGCATATCAGTCAAGACATAGGCATTATCTCACACATTATCATCAGCAAATAACTTTTCATTGTATCAATTAAATGTATTTTGTTTATTTATTATCAGCATAATCTTGTTTATATTACATTGAATCACATATATCTTTACAGTGTGTTACATTTCTTTTTCCAGGAGGAATACCTTGCATATCAATCAAGGCAAAGACATTACTATCCACATCATCATCATCAAATAGCTTTTCATCACTTTTTCCAGATTATTATTATTCTCATTTTTATGCATTCAATTACTCTAGTTGTTTCTTTTTTAAGGCTGAAAAATGTTCTGTGTATATACAATAATCTTCCTTTATCCATAGTGTTGCTTTCTGCAGTTTCAGTTACTTGCTGTCAAGTACAGTCTGAAAATATTAAGTGGAAAATTCCAGAAATAAAGTTTGTAAGTTTTCAGCTATGTGCCATTCTGAGTAGCATGATGAAATCTCACGGTATCCCAGTCCACCCTACGGGGACGTGAATTGTCCCTTCGTCCACCAATCCTCACCCAGAGTTGAGAGCCCCTGGTGTTAGTTGAGCTGGATTTTTTTTTTTTGAGAGGTTTTTTTGCTTCAAACTCATGCCAGCCCTTGTGCATGCATGCCCAAGATCCTGAGAGAATAGAGGACCAGGGATTGTGGCATGGCCATCCCTACCCCAGAAGGGGAAGGGAGGTGATTTTTTGCTTTCTGCCTCTCTATTGAGTGAGCACACCCTATAGCAAAAATCTCTCTTAAAAAAAAGAAAAGAAAAGAAAAGAAATGGCATTTGTGAGGGCCAGCAAGTGGTGTGGCAGTTAATCACTGGACTCACATGGCCAACCATGGCTCAAGTCCCAGGCCTGGTGACTCACTCTCTCTCTATCTCTCTCTGTCTCTCTCATGAGTGCACATACTCCATAGCAAAATTTCAAATAATGATAATTCTTTTAAAAATTCTGGAACTGTTAAAAAAAAAGCCCCCAGGTGCCAACCGGTAATCCATAAGGCAACTGGACCCACATGGGAAAGATCCTGCATTTGTGTTCTGGGGACCCACTGAGTACATACCCTGACACAGCTGGCTGGGGCTGGGGGATGGGTTGTGATATGGGGACCCTGTTGGGAGTATCTGTCTGTCCCTCCTCACCCCCTACCAAAAGAAAGAAACCTTTTTTTTTTTTTTTTTTTGAGAAATTTTTTTTTTTTTTTTTGAGAGATTTTTGCTATAGGGCACAGGTGCTCACCAGAAAGACAGAGAGAAAGTGAAAAATCACCCCCCGGGGGGATGACCACACTGCAATCCCTTCTCCATTCTCCTCTTGGGATCTTGGGCATGCACACACACTTGGGATCCTGGTGCAAGAGAAAGAAACTTTTTGAAAAAGCTCCCAAACATATTTATAAAATCTTGAGTGGTGGGCCAGCAAAGTGGTGTGGAGGCTAAGGCACTGGACTCCCAAATGGCTGACCACGTATCTAGTCCCAACCTTGTGGCTTAAAAATCACACCAGGCTCATGTGCGAGTATGCCAAAAATCCCAGGAGCAGAATAGAAGAGAAGGGTGGCAGGGTGGCCATCGCCCCTAGAGGAGAGTAATAATGTCTCACTTTTCCTTCTCACTATCAGAGTGTCACCAGCAAGTGCCCATGCTCTTTGGCTGAAAAATAACAATAAACAGTTATCTCGACCTAACATTTGTGATAACATTTTATAATAGTCGTCTCTACCTCATCAAGAAGATTGCAGTTTTGAGCACATTACATAACCTTCCCCACACCCTGAGAGTCGTTCGCCTTCTGCAGAAGGGACATGGAGTCAGTTCACCAGCTGGAAACGGGGACCAGTTAGCCAGTGCTTAAGCTAAGTCAGTCTTCCTTTCACCCTCTCTTGGCTCCTTTCATGCCTGCACCAGCTAATGGGTCAATTGGTTCAGAGTGCATGGCCACAGAGCTTCCCTCTTCTGCTCGTGCCTCTATGCAGGCCTTTCTATGTGTGCTCTGGGCAGTTTCATGTCCCTGAGCAAATACACAGAACGTTTAGCAGGTCTTGGTTAAAAGTTCTCCCCCTCATTAGTGAAGAAATAATGATCACTGACTGCCTCTTATTAGATTTGGAAAAAAAGAAATGTGTCCCTTGGAGGCTGAGTCTGAGGGGATTAGAGTGCCTTCTCTCAGCATTGAATAAAGCAGGGCCATTTCTTTAACT